TATACATAGAGAAGAATATATGGCTCATACTGATATAGAATTCTCCTCGAGTGTTCAACTCGATAGCTCACGAGTGAGCTGAGCGGACGAGTGAGATGCCGAGTTGAACACGAGAAGTGAAAATTAACATCTACAAGCAACCATGTATTAATTTTTTTATCATATAAACACAATAGCCCTTTACTGACAAGAAAAGTCGACAAAAGGCTCAAGATGGAAAATGCGTTAAATCATGAATACAAAAACAACAATTGGCGTAATTTTCAATTTACAAAATTCTCATTTAATGACTTTGTCCTTACCGACAGAAGAAGTCTTTCGGGTAAACGGCCAAAATCGGTCTGTGGCAAATCTTCCATTCATCCAGCTTCGTTCTAAGCCGCGAGAAATGCCATCACCAAAGCCACTAGATACGTAACTTACGGTTTTCATTTTCGTATGTTGGTTTTCTTATCCTTCTAGGAGGTTCCGACAAACTACCTAGTATCGAGAATCTTGAAGGCTTTTCAGTTTATTCATCAACTGACCTGACCGAGTTTCGCGTGTGCTGTTACGACTTTTGTCAGGGCCGGAAATCCTTGTGAAGCACTTTTGTTCAGTTATATGATAAACGACATTTTTACGCAGACAATCTCTAAATAATTACTGGCATTACCGCGTGTAGGGGCTCTGTGACAAGATGTTTCTGTTTAACAAATAGATTCCAAGTTGCCGTGCGTCTGTTCAGTAATAGATCACAGATGACGTCAAAATGTGGTAAGAACAAAAAAGTGGCACACGAGGCGTAGCCGAGTGTGTCACTGATGTTCTTACCACATTTTGACGTCCTCTGTGATCTATTACTGAACAGACGCACGGCAACTTGGAATCTATTTGTTTTATATAATAAAGAATTTTAAAAAGTTTTAATGACGTCATCTATACATGTGTCCTCCAATAGATCATAAGTGAGAACCAATCAAAACGCGTGCATAACTGAGCTTATTATATAGAGAAGAATGGTGTTTGAATAAACTTCGGCAGAGAGTTGGTTCAACTACTCAGACAAATTCACTGACTGATGCTCTGAAGTTAAAGCAAAATTCGCGATTCGAATTATATGATTCGATTTGTTGCCGCTCGTACCTCTCAATTATGACCTTGACTTTCCCCAATGAATACAAGTTGTATTTGAATTATAATTTTTGCTTTCGTTCATGGTCGATGTAGCTCTATGACGAGATAAATCCAGTAAAACATGGATCTTCTCGGAACAAAACGAGAGAGGGAGGTTAAGTTACCCTCTAATAGCCTTTAACCGTGACTCCCCCAAAAATAGCCTGTTTATTTAAACTATAAAAAAATGTCTTAGATAAATGACCCAGACAAACTTAATAGGATAGGGGAGAAAGGTTACGTGTACCGAAACAACGTTAAATATAGTAGCCTTTTATTTTCAATTCTGACAAGGTTTAAGTACCATCCAACCGAGACAGTCCAGTGCTACAAGGACAGAGGGGGCAAGTTTTCTCTTCGAATGGGATTTTCATCTTCAAGATGAGGACAAAATAGAACTAACAGGGTTCATTTTTGGCCTTTGGATGGATGGTTATACCACGCATTATCTTATGACGGTAACCAAGGAGGGAAGAGTGATTCATAATCCTCAGTTGAGCAAGAAACATCCTAGTTACGTCGGGCGAGTCACTTGGGCAGGAAACATATCAAAGTCGTATTTGGCCTATAAGTTGGAGAATCTGACTTACTCGGATAGCAACACATACGGATGTCAAATTGACGTGGGAGGTTTCCGACGAACAATTCATTCTATGATCACTTTAAATGTCCAGGTAAGATTCTGATGTAAACCTTAACGCGCTTCTGGGTGTATGTACGATTGGACCTTCCCTCGCTAAGCCTTTAAGGCGCAATCGTACATATCTACACGACCACTCACTTGCCCCAAGGAATGACCCCTCATTTTCATGTGGAAAGCTGGGATCAAGTGAAAAAATTGTTACGGGATACCTTGTTCGTGGCAGCGGTATTCCGGGTAATTCTTATGCAATTCAGGGTCAAATTGTTTTTTTTTTTTTCTTTGACTTTCCATGTTCGTGTTTTTAGTGGCAATTTAAAACTTGCAGCGCAAAATTTTTCTGACGAGGAGGTTTGGAAAGTGCGCTCAAAATTTAGGCACAGTCTCCACACGGTTTTAACGCTTCTATCATCAAAAAGTTCATATGTTTTAGAAAACTGTCTATTTAAGTTCCCATGAAAAGAATCTGAAAATTGTGTGAAAAATACCATCCCTTAAGCATTCTTTTTTCACCTGCTTTGAAACTTGTTCTTAAAGCTTACCTTGGTGTTAAACATGATATCTGTGACAGAAAACAAATGCATGAGAAGTTAGTACCGGTTGATGTACATTATTGGTCATGTTACTCAGTGTTACGACCACCATATCTTGATAGCTTGCATATCTAACAGGTTATTGTCTTAGCAAAATATTCTATCCACTCAAAGAAGTTCGGGATATAAAATTAGCTTTACCACTCAGCTCACTTTTAATCAAAATCTGTTTGAGTGCCGTTAGGTTCAGATAACAGCTCAATCAAAGAAGGAAAGAGCTATTATACATATCACGTTCCACGAGCACGAAACTGGGAACAAAGAGAACAAAGAGAGACCGTCAAACGGTGATTCATGTCGTCTCGTCGTTCCTTCCCTGAGCCGATTTTCCGGGGAAATTATCTTAGATTTGCGCGTCATTCGATTATGTGGTAGAAGAGCTTTGTTAATATCTGTTACTTTGTTTTTGCCTGTTTTTTTTTTTCTTCTGCCGAGGCCTTGATCAGAATTTCTCATATGCTTTTTAATAAAGTTTTTTCGTTTTTCCATCTTTTTCATCTTCTTCCGTCATAATAATAGGTTTTAGTATATTAGCCCATTAAGTAATAAAAAGATGCTCCGTTTCTGGTTATTGTATTTCTTCTTGAGACACCTTTGGATGCTTGATTATCAACGCCTGGTAAAAGCACTATTGCAGTGTTGATATCAAACATGTAGCAACCTAATTGGTTGAAGTTTGCGACCGACAAATAAAACGAATATAAAACAATTGAAATACTGGACCTAGTAAGTAGCTCAGCTAATACTCACATGTAGCTGTATTGATTTAATTTTTTCCCACAGGCGATAAATACATCAAAGACACCTGAACTGAGTGTCTCTTCCATATGGGTCCATACTCCCAATGCTACATCGAGCACATTTGTTCCATTATTAAAAGGAGGTAACTATATTAACTGTGCGCTTCTCCGTCCTTGAGAATGATTTGGTTTTATCAATTTACAGGTTGGTAATGTAACTTGGCCACCATAAAGAGTTTTAAAGCATAGAAACCCCCTTACAGCAGTCAATTTGAACGATTTTCTTAAAAGGCGAATACCTATAGTTTCCCTGCAATGCCAATTAGGCTATGGTCTTCTCCCGCGAAGAAGTGTGTATTGTTTCCTGTCTTGTTTCTTTGCTACAGAAGCCTGAATTTGTTTTTGTCTACTTTCCAGGCATTCAAAACAGTGATGTCTTTCATAGCAATTCGGATCAAACTTTAACCGTAAAACTATAGAACAAAAACTTATCTTTTACATCTGCACTTTCAATCCCCACGGTATCAACGAACGCCACGAGCCCAATATGGGCTTCTCCGAACGCCTTTCATTCAGCTAATTTTTCTCGTGTTTTTCATGTTACCATTTTTTCAGCAATAGCTTACCTGAAAACCAAACAAAACCCGTGATTCCTCTATTCGCTCCAATGAAAGATTTTGTCAACTCAGTTGACAAAACAAAATTTTTGTCTTGATTAGTGTCTCTTTTTTTTTGCAGGACCTCCAGCTGTAGTAAGACTTCCTTTCCACGACATTGACATCAATGACACGAGGTTTTTATGCACCTGGGAATACCCTAAAGACAATAATGGAGCCAATATAACTATGTTTACCGTGTGGTATCGCCCATTACTTCGGGAAAAATGGTCTAAAGTGAATGTTACACAAAACAGATACTCGGTTAGACTGAATTGCTGCTTGACATACGAGATTATGGTAACAGCTTGGAATAAGAAGGGTCAGAGCTCTTTTGATCCTAGAACAGCAGCAAGGGTCACAGTTCTCAAAGGTACACTCTTGACTTTTGACTATCTTTGGTTATCGAATTTAATTGTAAAACACGTTCTTATGCGCAGTTGCCAATACTTTGCGCAGAAATACTATTTCACTGAGTTTTTTTTTTTTTTTCAATTTCAGGAGCAAATGCTTCCCCTAAGAGTAAGTGCTCGATAAACTTATTTGTTGTGTTAATTTTTTTGTTCTGTAGGTTTTGTTCGTTCCTGTTTTTCCCCTACTGTTTTATGCTATACATACATGAGACAACATTAGAACCTCGCTGACTCCGGAGAAAAAAAAGTGGCTCGAATAAGCGGAGGTTTGAGCCAGCTGATAGTAAATGACTGCAAAAATGAGGTCGAGGGGAATCGCATTTTGCTCAAGTTACTGGAAATTCGAGTTAACCCCTGTTCGAGTAAGCGGGGTTGTACTGCATAAAAACAACTTATTTTTCGATGTCGTTAATTTTATTGGTTACTTCACGGTTTATTTCATCTTTGCCAATCAAAATTGCGAGCATTTAGAATTATCCTCTCTAAATCCTTTGGAAGGTATGAATACACAACAAAATATAGGTATGTTCTCGTACTTGCTAAATGATCAATTTACGGATAGGATAATGGTTAAAGTAAAAGTAGAGAACAAAAACTGTTTATATATGGGCTTGAAGTTCTCTGAACGTCACTTTGTAATCATTTTCAGTCACAAATATGACATGGTATATTGCGTCAGCTCGGAAAAATCTTGGATTTACTTGAGATAATCTGCGGTGGCCAATTTCTATTTATATCTCTATTAAATATTATTAGTATGACACCAAACTATATTGCGCTAATTGTTTGCCATGCAGGTGTCCTGGAAAATGCAACAGCGCGAAGTGTAACAACTTCGAATTCAAACATTTTGGTGTCAAATGGTATGCTTTCTTGTATCGTCTCTTAATATGTGATATTGTTAGCGTCGAAGATGTGTTCCCCCCTAAAATTCCGCAAAAGCTCAATGCAAATACCCGACAGAATAAATTTTCAGAAAATTACGCTCGGTAAACTATTCCAATATGAAGAAATATAAATACAGTATAAACATTCATTTCCACAAACTTTAAAACGTCCACTTCGCGCGGAAATTCATTTTACCCACAGTTCTCGATAAGAGTAGAGACAACGCTGCTCGCGTCAATGTGTGACGCAATGCCGACGGTGGTTTGGCGTGGCTGTGCCTCGTTGGTCCACAACATTTTGATCAGTGTGATGACCATTATCGTTGTCGATAAGGGTACAGACCACTCTAAACCACTATTGATTTGATAATTGAGGCAAGAATCACATCAAAAAAAGGCAATCTGTTCTCTCTCAACGTCTTCGCTGTGCAAAGAGCACCTTCCATTACTTTGCGGGAATTTTATCGTATTTAGAGTGAATCGGTGCCGGAACGAAGTCCTAGTTCTCACTACCTTCACCACAGAAATCTGAAGAAATCGAGTGCATTTAAAGAGCAGTGTATTAAAAAATTTTGATTATACGCTCAATTTCGTTTCCTGTTGCATGTATTTGTTTTACCTAATTTTTCTATAGGGAAAGCCGGCTCCGCGAAGTCAAAGTGGGAATTAGGGGTTGAGTACTTACCTTACCTGTCAGTCCTTGCCATTCCTGCATTTCTTTGGGCTGTGACTTCCAAGCTCCGAAGGAGAACTGGAGTGAATAGTGAGTAACTTTTTCCTACGTGAGTAGTTAAGATTTTCAACTTTCCCTTTTTCGTTTTGATTTACTCCTCGTGGTTTCCATGTTGCCCAGTACATCAGGATGTTTATTACACTCATTTTGAAATTGCTGGAGATCTCTATTATCTGATTGGATCTCTACAATGCTATTTATTTGATAATTATACTTTCTCTTGCTCTTATTGAAAGAAATCTCAGCAAACGAGAATGGAACAGTAATGCAATACCAGCGGGTAGAAGCTGAAACGTAAGTGTCTAGTGGTTTCTAATCAAGTTGTGTGTAAAAGCTGATAGATCACTAAGTAACCAATGATTACATTACAACGTCAAGCTATAGTATCAACCTTAAATAGTTCCTTTTCCCTGTATGCTCCGAATTCCCGAGGGCATTCCTTCTCAGAAATCAGACCCTCTACCGTTAGTATAAGAATTACGACTAACGAGTAAAGCTTTAATTCTTTAATTATCATTAAGTTATACCCCATTCACCACTGCCAAAGCTTACACATGTTTTAAAGCTCCTTTGTTTAACACGGTTTAATTTTTTTTCTTCATAGAAGCTGCTTAGACAATTGTTTGTCAACTTCAAATGTAGCCTATTGGTTCTGTTTTTCCTTCAGTTAAACACGGTTTAACTAAACGTATTTTGCTGGTGTGAATGGGGTACTAGTTTCCTTTGTCATAATTTCTCTACTTTTTCCAATAGAGTACCGATGGATCCGGTTCCGTCCTGGGAGTTTCGGAAGGAAGACTTGGAGATTGATAGAGTAGTTGGCCACGGTGCGTTTGGAGTGGTCTCCAAAGCCTACGCTCGATATCTGCAGGGCTACTCAGAATGGACAGTTGTGGCAGTAAAAAGCTTGCAGGGTAACACTTTACGAGTAATGATGTAAATCACAAGGATCGATAAAAAAAATGAGTTGTCTAAATTGCATAAAACAAATCATAGTTCATCTAAAGATGAGGAACTTTAAGAGGAAAAGAGATGCTTGTTCCCTGCAAATGAAACGCAATTAAAGAAATTTCAAAGATAAGCCCGAAAGAGTTCATTTTTTGACGGGATTTGAAGTCGTACTTCCAGTTAATAATTGGACGCTTCTACCTAATACGAAGCTACAAGATTAGTGGAGGGACGTGGACGAAAATTTAAGCAGGCTCTTCGATTCATATCTCTGGGGAAAAATGATCCAAATTATGTGAAAAAAATCACATTTGAGCCATTAATACCATTAGAATAGATAAATAATCCTTATAACACAGAGGCCAGAAAGAAAGAAAGAATAAAAGAAAGAAAGAACAAAGGAGAGAAACAGAGTTTTCCCTTTATCTGCGACAAGCTAAGGCAATTCAGTACCTGGCCTAAGGCCTCCACTGCAGGGTTCAACTTTATCTCCGTCCCCTGTAATTTCCTTTAGCCAAAAAGGTTCCTTATTTCTTTTTATCAACAGAGGATGCGAAGGAAAGTGAAAGAGAAGATCTGTTGTCTGAATTAAACCTTTTAAAGAGGCTGAAACCTCATCCACATGTAATAAAACTTTTGGGTTGCATCACAGAAGAAAAAGGTAATTACATGTATAATTGATCACGTCAAACACTCATGCAGTTTAATGTTTCTATTTTTACACAAATTTAAGGATATTTACTGATTACCCTATTGATTACTCCTTCCACTCACGTAGGCATATAAATAATGCATGAAGTATAGTAAATTTAAAAATCTTTGCCCGTGAAACAATTTTCATTTTTTTTCTTCAAATGTTTGTTTTGCATTGTAAATTAATCATTTTTCTATCAGCAGTGCCATTATTGTGGTAAATATTTTAGTAATTTTAGTTTTCTAAGTTATTTATGTAAATAGTGTTAGTATTAAAATTTTCGAACTGAAAAGGATAAAGATTCCCATCGGCCATTGATTTGCCATTTGCCGTGCATTGATTTTTCGTGGGTAATGATGGTTTTTAGAAAATCGCTCAGGAAAAGTGACTTTCAAACTAAAATGACCGAGTTTTGAGTATTTTTAAGAGCAAAAGGATAATGCGTCTATTTCCTAAAAATCTTTTGATTTAGGAGCAAATTGTAGATGTATCTTTACTCTTCAAAAAGCCATGCGTTGATATAGAAGCAAGCCCTTAAAAAGTTTGAAAAAGTGAGTTTTTCCTGATCGCTTGTTACGATCATATGATCATTTCGTAGTCAACCATGTATCTCATTTGCGCCGAACAGTTTACTCACTGTACGATTCAACCTTGAAAGATCAAACATTGTCTAAACAAAATCTTTCTTTTCAGATAACCTTTGTCTCTGAATATGCTTTGCAAATGTATATTTTGAAAGCAGTTTTATCATTCTATAGAAACCCCATATGTAATCATTGAGTATGTACCTTACGGAGATCTTCTCGGTTATCTTCGGAGAAGTCGAGGGTTGCACGACTGTTACTACGAATATCCCGAGATAAAACCAACGACGAACCTAACTTCAGAGCAGATCATAACGTTCGCCTGGCAGATAGCTGACGGCATGCAGTATATCTCATCTAAAAGGGTGCGTGTTTTCAATTGAGAATTATTTATGACAACATCCCCTTGTATCCTCAATTCATAATCTCTTTTGTTTGTTTAGTTTTGTTTTTGTTTTTGTTTTCTTTCACTAGATCATCCACCGAGACCTAGCAGCAAGGAATGTATTAGTTGGTGATAACCTCAGATGCAAGATTACAGATTTTGGAATGGCTCGCGATGCTGATATGAAAGATATTTATGTACCACGTAATCAGGTAGCTTCATTTCTCAGTTGTTATCCTACCCAAACTGTTTCAATAATGAAAGGACATCCACCTTGACTCATATTTTGAATATAATGACCGTGTGAACTTAGATAAAGATGAAGTGATGAGAGATGTAAGCACACCCCGGTCTGCAGATCATACGTCTGCCTTTCACTCTCTTTCTCTATATTTATGATTTATTGAATAATTTACTTTATAACCGACGGATCGAGATGGATGTGCTAGAGTCCTTCGATGTCTTAGAAACTAGCGCAATTTGAGATTCGATCATTATGAAAAAAATAAAGGTAAAAAAATAAGAAGAAAGGAAAGGAAGAGAAAAAGAAAGAAGAAGAAAAAGAGAAAAGAAAAGAAGAAGAAAACACTAAATAGCCCAGCTATTCCAAAAGGGGATCACCGAAAATTGAATGTATCCTCAGAAAATGAAGGCTTCTCCTCGCAAACTTCTATCAATACAGGGCCGAATTCCTGTTAAATGGACAGCAATTGAAGCAATGTCTGGAAGGATGGAGTACTCAACGAAAAGTGACGTGTAAGTTGAGATAGATAAAACTGCAAACTTGAAACGCGTAACTCCTCTTTCAAAGAAAAAAAAAGAAAAAGTAAAATCGAAAAATCTGACGGCTCAATTTAGCTAGAATAAGGCGAGGGGATCTTAAATCTTAAGAGAAAAAATATTAAACGTTTTTTTTACTCTCGAATTTTTAGGTGGAGTTTTGGAATCGTTCTATACGAGATTTGCACCATTGGTAGGTCTTGCATACTGCACCCACAGTGCGTTGGACAAAGGTTTAAGAATGCATAGAATATACGAATACCGCTGATCTTCCGTGACAGGCACTGATGAAACTATTTAGGATAGTGCATTTACTTTCAGATTCCAGTCGGAAGTAGAGAAAATCGTAAGACGTTAGTATTCTTAACAGACCAGGAATAAGAGATAAGTGTCTCTAAAACACAGTGCATATATTCAATCGCTATGGCTTGCTTTCTCAATGATGATAGTATTTTTTGATAATGCAGTTTTCTATCAATTTGAGTGTTTCTCACCCAAAACGGGGAATCGTAATTTGTTCCTCCATCACTCGAGGAAAGTTATCAAGTAAAGTTAAGAGACTCTTTGGTCATCATATTATTGTGAGTGTCATCTTAAATTCTTACACACACTTTAGGCGCTGAACCTTATCCAGGAATAAGTCCGTATGACATTCCAAGAGTATTACAAGAGGGGTATAGAATTCCTAAACCTGATTATTTTAAGGATGAGTTGTAAGTAATTCCTAACCCCTTTACAGTTATTATCAATGTCATAGTGGTAAAAGTTCTTTCATAAGGTATTCTAAGTTCACCCCCAATGCATTGTATCGCAATCCAACTGAACTCTGAAAAACCCAGACCTGAAGCTACAACTTTCGCAACCTAAAGTTAAAGGAGAAAACTTTAAAGAAACTAAACCAAATGCAGTGCAGAAGTCGGAGTTTACCCTCGGCCTGCTCTCTAGCTAG